GGGGGGGGCATTTTTACCGAGTTGATTTAAACACTCAGACGTGTAAAAGTATTCAAAACACCTTTGTATAGGTCCAACTGGATCTGTAACAGATTCTCATGTCCCATGGAATTTTGTACATCCTTGAAAATGAAGATGAACTAAGTTGTCCTCCAATATTGGTGAATTGTTATCAAATATGAAGATGCTGTAAAACTGTTGGTTGATACGCTAGACTCTCTTCTAAATACTGATTGTGATGTGGACGAGAGGCGTAGCAGGCCTGTATCACTCACCTGGTATAAATCAACGTGGGTAATCACGTGGCCTCTAATGATTCAGTCCACGGAAATCAGCTTCACAACGAGGCACAGATAAACTGACCACTTCCTTTCTTTCATATATTGATAAATACCGGTAGCCTATTCATTGTGAAAATTGATTTGGTTGGAATATGACTGGTTCGTATCGTGAACTGTATGAAATCACCATAATTTGAGTACATCTCGAACATTTAGTCGTATATCTACGTTTGGTACGATGGTAATATAAAAGGTTATAATTTATAATAATTCAAATCTCATTGAGTGACAATACATTTAGTTCCATTTTGTTGCTTTACCTGAAATGATACAAAAGATGGACGACAACCTTTTTTCCTTTCAACATATACTACACATTTTTCGGGACACAAAACTAATTGAAAACGAAGAGATTATCTTGTTACGTGGAAAAAGTGATCCCGACCAGTGGGAATAAAAAACTATTTCAAAGTCTGCCCCTCTTTATATCTCCAGTTAGAGTCCATCATTAGGGCCAGCATACAAATCACTGAAGACCAAACGGAATAACTTATGCCTTTTCACATGCGTTATTATAACAAAGAGGTCATCAGTCACATGAAGATGAGGGTTGTTTTCAGGATGATGATGGTAACCAAGGGAAGGATATCGAGGAAGTTGCAGGCAAAGACAGTACAATGTTGATACTACTGGCCGGATATCATCATTATTTGATACTACTGGCCGGAAATCATCATTATTTGATACTACTGGCCGGATATCATCATTATTTGGTACTACTGGCCGGATATCATCATTATTTGATGCTATACTGGTCCGATATCATCAATCTATGCCTTTTGGTTTGTTTGTTTTAGAACGGCCCATCGACGGCTGTAGTCATTAAGGGCCAAGATGATTTATTTTATTTTATTTTTTTCAAAAAAACATGTGAGTAGCGAAGATAAAATCAGATAAAAATGTTCAATTTAAAAGCATTTGCATTGAATTTGTAGATAATTAAAATAAAAAGGGGGTTAAAATAATAAAAGAGATAACGAATAGATGATATGGACTATGTGATATATATAACGTCAAAAGGGTAAGGTGGTTTTAAAAGACATCAGAGTCTATAGAA